GTGTATGTATGTGTGTGTGTGTATGTGTGTGTGTGTGTGTATGTGTGTGTGTGTGTATGTGTGTGTGTGTGTGTGTGTGTGTGTGTGTGCTCCTGAGACTAAACCCAGGACTTTTGTCGCCACTTTTTTTATGCACTACTTAAGATTTTGTCTGAAAAAAAAACTGTGTCATTCCAAACACTACTTAGAATTTTCATTGATTCCCAATTATTGGATTCCTTGATTGCCGAAGCTATATAGTAAGTATCAAAATGGGATAAGATGATTGTTTATTTAAAATTGATTTAGCACTATTTTTTTAAATCTCTCTGTATATTTCAGTGTATGTCTTTCTGGTTTTGTAAAAAATGAGATCTTGTTCAAATTTTAATAGAAGTTGAGTTAGATCTGTGGATCAGTTTGTTGAGAATTGATATCTTTGTTTCAAATCTTCCAGCTCAGCAACATGGTATGTCTTTTCATTTAAGTATTCCTTGATTTATTTCATTGCTGTTTTTATAGTTTATACCCATATAACTTCTGTACATTTTAAGGGATATTTATATCTTTTATTTTTTAGTAATTATAATTGGGATGTTTAAACTTTGAATTTCTTCATGGTATTGAATTTGGTATAGTGTACAGAAAGGGTCTTTTTTCTTCTACAACTTTGTTGAAGTATTTCTAACCATTTTAAAAATTTTTGAGAATCCTTAAAATATTAAACAGATAAATGTCTGCAAACAGTCAAATAGTTTTTCTTCCTTCTCATCTGTATAGCTTCTTTTTCCTTTTCTTTTCTTTTCTTTTCTTTTCTTTTCTTTTCTTTTCTTTTCTTTTCTTTTCTTTTCTTTTCTTTTCTTTTTTCTTTTCTTTTGAGACAAGGTTTCTCTGGGTAGCCCTGGCTGTCCTGCACCTTGCTCTGTAGACCAGACTAGCCTCAAACTCAGAAATCTGACTGCCTCTGCCTCTGACATGCTGGAATTAAAGGCGTGCACCCCCACTACCTGGCTTCATCTATATAGCTTGTATTTCTGTTCTTTGTATTGCACTAGCACTTTCAGTATACATTAAAACTAGTGAGAATTTACCTATACTTGGTTCCTGATGTGTTCACTTCTTATAAGTGATGCTAAATGTAAGGAGTGTGTGGGTGTTAAATCAAATGTAGGAAATTTCCTTTTGCTGGGGTATTTTTGTTACTGGGTGTTGGAATTCATCAGGCATGTTAATGTGTTAAGTTGAAGTCTATTGATGTGATGCTTCACATAAAGCTTTGAATGTCAAACCAGACTTGCATTCTGAGAATAGCCAGTGTATAATTTTGTTTAGATTTTGTGTTGTTAGTCCTTGCTGTTGTTTTATTGATGTTTTCCCTGGTTTCCTGAGTGATGTGTTTACTGTCATCGTCAAATAACCGAACCAATCCATGACCTTCGCATACTATAACATTTAGCACTTTGGCGTATACATGCCTTATTGCCACAGTTCCCTTTTACCTGGACCCATTCCGTTGTTTTTTTTTTTTTTTCTTCTTCTTGAGATTGCAAACCTTCTGTTAATATTTCCTTTCTATTTAGTGGATTTTGTCTATGCTAAGCTGGTGACGTTCTCATTTTCTTTCATCTAAGGATGGCCTCCCTTCTTTCTTGAATGTAATTTTTGTGTCATATAGGATCTATATTGGGAGAATATTTTCAGTATTATTCCATCCCTTCCATTCCTTCTCTCAACTATGGTTTCTGATTAGAAATCTACCAATTGAACTGTTTATAATCTGTTGTTTCAGTTGAGGTATATTCAAAATGCTTTTCTCTGTAATGTTCAATAGTTTGTGGTGTACCAGGTATGAAAAATTTGAGTTTCTTTTTCATTGTTTTTTTTTTTATAGTGTCCTGATATATAGTCGGGGCAGATCTTGTACTACTGAACCCAGCCTAACTTTGAACTTGAAGCACTCTTCCTGTCTCAGTGTCCTGAATAATGGGATCCCAGCTGTGAGAATTTATTTTGATTCGTGTTGATTTTTCTTTTGTTATGAAAGTTTATGCCCTTTGCCAAACTTGGGAGATTTAAAGTTACTTTTTTTCATCTGAATTCTTTGTTGTTGTTTTTTTCCAGGAATTTCAGTAGTACAAATGATTAAATACCTTGTTATTGTCCCATGCATTCTTGGGCTCTCCCTTTTCCTTTTTCTCTTTATATTGGTTAATGTCTATTGATCTGAAATACCATGTCTTTCTTTTGTCATGTCTAGTCAGCTGTTGCACTTTCCATCTTTCTGTTTTTATACTTTTCAATGAAACAGATTCAATAAACAAAAGAAGCTCATTGGCTGGAGTCCAGAGAAAAACCAAACAATATCCCAATGAAGTTATGTGGGATGTGCTCAGTTTGAGCCTTATCTGGGACTCATGACCACTGTGGGAGATCATTGTTAGGACATCTCATTTGACACTCATACTGAGTTCGTTTAAGATATGGCTTGAGCATATGATATGTCCAATTCTAGACTTCCAGAACATGAGCCACATTGTTGAAACAATTTAGGTACAAGAATCAAGCCACTCCCCTTCTGGGGCTACTGTAACACCTGAAATCTAAGTTACAAACTCCAAGCAAGAGGGAAATTTGCATGGTCAAAGGATGTCTCAAGCTTTCTATGTTGTGTCTTTTTCACAGTGGCCTGATGATTTTTTGTTTTTCTTTTTTGAGTTTTTATTTGTTTTTTTTTAAGTTTTTTTTTTCTTTGTGTGTTTGGGTATTTGCACATTTGCATGTAAGAGGATGTTGAATCCTCTGCAGCTGGAGCTCCAGATGGTTGTGAGAAACATCCACTATGGGTCCTGAGAACCGGACTCAGTTCTTCTGCAAGAACAGCAATTCTCTGTGATTGTGAGCCTTCTCTTAGCCTGTTTGTATTCTTTTTGTTTTGTATTTAATTTATTGCTCATTTTAAAAGCAAACCAATTTCAACATGACCATTCTATCCTGTTCGCCAAGTAATTATTGAATTCTATCCTTCAGCTCTGCTACATTTTACCACTCACCACCTGATTAATGAGATCAAGAGTGAATATTCACAAGGGCATGTATGTAGCCTTACAGACCCAATATATTCAAGACCTCAGAAGCTCCAACACTCGTGAAAATGTACTCAAATCAGTCATGTGTCATCCTTTCCATACCTGTTATTCTAGGGATTTGTCTGTTTAGCAAGATCAGCATCAAGCTTACTAGTAATTACTGTGGTACCCACTTTTTTAAATAATTTAAGAATTTTTTTTATTCATTTTACATATCAACCCCAGATCCCCCTCTCATCCCTCCTCCCACTCCCCACCAGCATCCCCCGCCTCCGACACACCCCCATCACCTCTTTCAAAAGGATAAAGGCTCCCTTGGGAAGTCAGCAGAGCCTGGTTCATTCAGTTGAGGCAGAACCAAGCCTTCAGAGGAGGGCATCAGGATCCCCCGGGAGTGAGTTTTACAGGTGGCCAAGAGCAACCTAATGTTGCTGGATGCTGGGAACTCAACTTGAGTCTTCAGCAAGAGCAGCAAGTGTTCTTAAACACTAAGCTCTCTCTTGAAGTCGCTATTCTGTCAACCGAGATACCCAAATTTGGGGCCCATGAACTAGAGGACCATTTCATTTAAAACGCAAGGGCCCCATGAATGAAGCCCACTACGTGTTGAAAAACTAAAACCTCCATCCCCAAGACTGATAGATGCGAAGCAGCTCTCCCTGGACCTCAGAAGCAGGAGGGTTAAAGAATAAGGTGTGTGCTGGAGATACCTGAGTAATGGCATTAACCCAAGTAGCAGAGAATTCAGAGTGAATTCCACACAAGGGGAGGGTGGTGGACTAAGATACTATTTTCTCTATCTTTCTTCTCTCCAGGCAGTGGCCTAAAAGAGTCAGGATCAGCTACATAGCAGGGTACAGGGAAGAAACTACATTACCCACAGTCCTAGGCCAAGGGCAAGATTGGACCAGGCGGGACTTCCGTCGCCACAATTGTGACGTCTGGGTTGCTGCCGGCTGTCCTCTAAACTGGTTTAGGAGTGGGCTAGCTGGATCACATTGGAGCCCAGCAGGGAATACAGCAAAACCAAAGCATCTTTCTCCATGCATGTGTGACAGCTGGCAGTTCCTACACTTGATCTTAGCCAAAAGGCCGAGAAGCGATCAGCTGGCAGTTCCTAACCTGGTCGCACCTAGAGTCAGTCCCCTAAGCCTTGTAGGCGTTGGTGCACCGTGCAGGCTGAGGGCGCCCCAGGTGTGGGTTTGCGACAGGGCGCCCCCACTGCCTGCGCACTTGGCTGTTTCACAGATGGACCGTGCTCAGGTGATTGGAAATTCTCGCCCAGATACAGAGGTTTGTGTGTCCTGGACGTCTCGGCTTCATTGCTTCCTCTCCCTGAGTATTAGCACCCAGTCAGGGGAACGCTAGGTCCTGCTTCTTAGCATTGGCGGACAATACTCAGATGTAACAGTGAGGAGTTTCAGAAGCCTTCTGAGAACCGAGGTTCAGGCTCCAGTTGAGGTTTGAGAGCCTCAGATCTGAGTTTCCTTCCCAAGGGTGACTGTGACTGAGAAATTCAGTGCAGAGATGCAGGGGCTGGGGCACAGCTTTTAACAGCAGACCTCTCGATTCAGTGTGTGTGTGTGTGTGTGTGTGTGTGTGTGTGTGTGTGTGTGTGTGTGTGTAGGTTAGAGGCCAGTTTTGTGGAGTACTTTCTCTTTCATTTTTACATGGGTTCTGGGCATCAAACTCAGGTCATCAGGCTTACCAAGCAGGCAAGTGGCTTTCCTCACTGAGCCATCTTGCTGGCTTAAGACTCCATGTTCAGATAATATCGATTTGCACATTACCTGGTTCTTTGATGTTCTGCACACAGTGGAATGAGAGACACAGGGAAAGAGTAGACATCAGTAGTTTCATGGCTTAGTGTATCCTGTAAGATGGTAGACTTGGGGAGGGGAGGGATAAAGGGATGTGTGTATATGAGATAGACTGAAGGGTGTTTTCTATGGAAGATGCTTCTCGTGGGCTTAACTGTTTCCATCATGCTAGGGCCGGGTAACCTTTGAGGATGTATACGTCAACTTCTCCCGGGAGGAGTGGGAACTCCTTGATGAGCCACAGAGGTTACTCTACCTCAATGTGATGTTGGAGAACTTTTCACTTGTGGCCACACTTGGTAAGTGTCTGTCTCATTGCTACTTGGTAGATTCCAAATTTAATAGCTTAGTACACTGAAAAGTTGTCTCAGCCTGTGTGGTGGTGCATGCCTTTAATGCCAGCACTCTGGTTTGAGGCCAGTCTGGTCTGCAAAGCAAGTTCCAGGACAGTCTGGGCCATTACACAGAGAAACCTTGCCTGGCGGGGGCGGCGGGGTGTGAGGTATTATTGCTCCGTTTTAATCCCTTTAGATTGTGGGAACTGCTTAGCTCAGAGTGAGATGGGGTTTCAGTTAAGCTGTCACATAGACCTCTGGTGTCTTCTGAAAACCTGTCTTTGGAAGAATCTGCTTACAAGGATGTGTAGGATGTTGAACTGGGAGCATGATTCTCAGTCATGTCTGTTGTGTGATGAACCTCAGAACAAGGAAGGTGACTTGTATTCTAGAAAGTGACTGGGAGACTGATCTTAAAGGTGGTCTTCCTTGTACCTGAGTTAGTAAGTCCAGCCTATGACAGGGGCAGAGGCTTCCATGAGGGCCATAGTGCTCGCAGGCAGAGATCAGTGGCAGCCATCTTTCAGGCTGCCATCCATAGGACTTCTTACCAACTCATGTCTTTGCCAATGTTTGCTCATATCTTAGGGAGGTGTGGGTGTGGGTGTGTGGGTGTGTGTCAGAGAGGGAGAGAGGGAGAGGAAGAGAGAGAGGAGAGAGAGAGAGAGAGAGAGAGAGAGAGAGAGAGAGAGAGAGAGAGAGAGAGAGAGAATGAATTACTCAGGGTCTCTATATAGTTCTTATTGTTCTGTCACTATGCTGTGCTGTCACAAGCCCAGGTTAATGTCTTATCCAATCCTGTCCCTTCTGTGGGTGACATAATTGGCTAATGATTTGTTTCCCAGGCCCCTTAGTAGAAAAAAAATAAAAACAAAAAAGATTGTTGGGGCTGGAGAGAAGGCCCAGCAGTAAAGAGCACTTGACTCTCCTCCAGAGGACCTGGGTTCAATTTCAAGCACCCACATCCAGTGCTTTACACCTTTAACTCCAGTTCTGGGAGAAGTGACACTCTCTTCTGACCTTGCCAGGTACCTGCATGCATATGGTGTACATACATACACTCAGGCACACTCATACAAACAAAATAAACATATTTTTAATAACTTAATTTAAAAAAATTATTGTTCTTGTTATTTACATGATTATTCTGTCTCCTTTTATGCATGCCCTTTGGCTATTGTGGTAGATGCTGCTTATACTCTGGACAAACAGCTTTGTAGTACCTGGCATCAGAATGTTAAACCCCTCACTAGCCCAGAGCTGATTACAGAAGAGGAGGTGAGCCTTTAAGAGTCATCGCTGAGGGTGGAATGCGGGGACTCAGCTTGATCCTCCCAATACCCTCTTGGATGCAAACCACCATGGCTGACACAGATTAGCCCTGATCTGGTCATTCTTCCACATCATTTTGTTGTTGTTGTTGCCGGTGGATTCTTGAGATAGAGTTTCTCCATGTAACAGTCCTGGCTGTCCTGTCTCTGTAGACCAGGCTGGCCCGGAATTCACAGAGATCCACCTGCCTCAGCCTCCCAAGGGAGTAGCGTTATGCACCATCACTGCCTAGCACGTCTACACACTTTTAAGTGCACCACAAACAAAAACCACTAGAGTGTTCTATCAACACAACTGTTTTCCGTGTTCTTCACCTATACCAGGTATGTTCTATGGGAAGTAACACCAGAGCTCTTGTTCTGAGTAGCTCGAGGTGTCCGGGATACCTCGCCCTCTAGGGCTGAACTGTCTCCACTTTTATCCTGAGCAACTGATGGGTGCTTTCCACTGACCTCGTCACAGAGCACTCCTGATTTTGACTGATTTTAACATCAGCCTTGACTGTGTTTCTGTTAGAAAGTTACTAAGAAATTGTACTTTGAGCAGCCTTGGATCTGTCTGCATCTCTTGAAATTTTATTTATTGTGTGTGCGTGCGTGCGTGCGTGCGTGCGTGCGTGCGTGTGTGTGTGTGTGTGTGTATCATAAAACATAAATGAGGTCAGAGGACAACCTGCAGGACTCTATCATATGTCCCTGGGGCTTCAACTCAGCCTGTCAGGCTGCTTGGCAGCAAGTGCCTTAATTATTGAGTCATCTTGCTGGCCTTACCTCAAAAGCCTCACAAGCCTGTGGGCAGTTCTCATAAATGAGGGATACAGTTTTCCAGGACTTTACACCCAGTTGACCTGTTTTTCCTTCTAGCTTTTTTTTTTTTTTTTTTTTTTTTTGGTTTTTCGAGACAGGGTTTCTCTGCATAGCTTTGCGCCTTTCCTGGAGCTCACTTGGTAGCCCAGGCTGGCCTCGAACTCACAGAGATCCGCCTGGCTCTGCCTCCCAAGAGTGCTGGGATTAAAGGCGTGCGCCACCACCGCCCGGCTTCTTCTAGCTTTTTTGTTGGCTTGTTTTTGTTGTTTTGTTTTCGCTGTGTAGCCCTGGGCTGTCTTAGAACGCACTCTCTAGACCAGGCTGGCCTTGAACTCAGATCCTCCTCCCTCTGCTGGAATTAAAGATGTGCACCGCACCATCAACACCCAGCCAGCTTCTTTCTTAAAGGTCCCATGGAGGTGCTCATTTGGAGATGAGTAGCTGGAGTTTTTCTCCAGTCCTGCCTGGCCCATGGTCAGGACAAATCTCTCTCACCCACCAGTCCCACAGCCGCTCAAACTCAGCCAAATAAACACAGAGACTTATATTGCTTGCAAACTGTATGGCCATGGCTGGCTTCTTGCTATCTAATTCTTCTATCTTAAATTAACCCATGTCTATTAGTCTATAAGTTGCCTCGTGGCCTTCTGGTACCTTACATCTTGCTTGTCATGCAGCGTCTCTCTGCCTCAGCCTTCCACTTCCCAGAATTCTCTTCTCTGCTTGTCCCACCTATACTTTCTGCCTGGCTACTGGCCAATCAGTGTTTTATTTATTAATCAATCAGAACAACACATTTGACATACAGAACATCCCACAGCAGAGATGCTTATTTGGAGAAAAGCAGTGTAATAGGACAGACATTACTTTAGGCACACTGGAGTAGGCCTGGTGAAGAAGGTCCGGCCCACATGGATGAGAGCTGCAGAGATGTCATCTTAGAGCTGGCTTCAGATCGAGCCTGAGCCTTGAACTTGTTCTGTGTTTGGCAGTGGTTCTTGCCAACATCGCTTGTCATGTCACTTCTGTTCTTCCTCCCCCATTCTTGGCTCTCTGCCCACTTGTCCTTCTCTTCTGTCTTGCTTCCCTTGGCCATTTTCATGCTTTTTTCTTCTGTGTCTCATGTACTCTTCTTCACCTACGTTGTTCTACAACATTCTCCTGCCTTAACGGGAAACAAGTTTGAGTATTTGGGAAACCTTTGGAGGCAGACTTTTGTAAGAGTGGAATTACCCTTCTACCCAGCTCATTTAAGACCAGCAGCCAACATCCTTCTGAAACCCATTTGCCCCACACCCCCATGAAAACTAGGTTTCTCCCCTCTGTTCTGTATCCCACATACCATTAGTAGATCGTTACTCAGTGTTAAAGTTCCTCCCTTGTGTGACCCTTCAATGCCCAATACCAACTACTGACTCTCACACTGATCCTGCCTCCTCAGACAAGCTGATAGGCTTTCATTGTGATAGGCTGCTGCTTCCCCTCAAAGCCAACCTGCTCGTCATCAGCTTTCCTTTGCTCTCAGGTTGTTGGTGTGAATCAGATGGCAAGGAGGCTCCTTGTGAGCACAACATCTCTGGAGAAGCCGTGCCACAGACCAGGACTGCTGAATCAAGTCTCCCGATGCAAACTTCCCACGCCTGTGAGAAGTATGACCCGCTCCTGAAGAACATTCTGCACCTGGCTGAACACCATGGCTTATGCCCTAAGCAGGTGCTGCATGGATGTGGGCTCAATTCGAGAGGATTCTTACTCACTAAAAAACCTTCCCGGCACAAGAAGCGGCACTGTGGAGAGAAACCCATTGGATGGGAAGACAGAGAAACGTCATGCGTGAAGAATGCAGTTCACGTGATTGAGACACCATTTGCATGCAAAGAAGAAGAGATGGACCAGCTGAACAGCTCCACCCTTCTTCAGTGCACAGTGCACAATGAGGTGAATCTGCACAAAAGGACTGAGTCCCCCGAGCCTCTCAGACATAGATCCAGGCTTGGGAAACACCAAGGAGACAGTGATGGGATGCCTCTCACAGGCAGTGATAAGGGAAATGCCTCCCTGAGCAGTGACAATCATACACCTCTTACTGAGGTGAAACCCATTAGGTGTCTGCCAGTTGGAAATGTGTTCAAGGAGACGTCACCTTTTTTTAATCAAAGAAGCATCCACAAAAGAGAAACAGCTTCTGTATGTGAGGAGTGTGGCAAGACCTTTACTCACCTGTCTCATCTAAAAATACACCAGAAAGTTCACAGTGGGAAAAGTCATTACCCATGTAATGAATGTGGGAAGATCTTCAGCCACAAAAGCACACTTATGCAGCACCAGAGAGTGCACACAGGGGAAAGACCTTTTAAGTGCAGCGATTGTGACAAAGCCTTCAGTCGTAAAGACACACTTGTTCAACATCAAAGATGTCATACAGGAGAAAAACCTTACCAGTGTAGTGAATGTGGGAAAGTCTTCACCCAAAATTCTATCCTTATAAAACATCAAAGGGTCCATACCAAAGCAAGATCCTATGTTTGTAGCAAGTGTGGAAAAGCCTTTGGCTGCAAAGATACCTTTGTTCAGCATCAGATAATTCACAATGGTACAAAGCCATATGAGTGTAGTCAATGTGGGAAGGCCTTCAGTCACAAAGACACACTTGTAAAGCACCAGAAAATCCACACTGGAGAAGGGCCCTATATTTGCAGCAAGTGTGGGAAAGCCTTTGGCTACAAAGTCACACTTGTTCATCACCAGAAAATTCACACTGGTACAAAGCCCTATGAGTGTAGTCAATGTGGGAAGGCCTTCCGCCTCAAAGGCACGCTTGTAAAGCACCAGAATATCCACACTGGAGAAAGGCCTTATGAATGTGGTGAATGCGGGAAATTCTTTCGTCAAAGTTCCCAACTTATTGTACACCAGAGAATTCATACTGGAGCCAAACCTTATGAATGCAGTGAATGTGGGAAATGTTTTAGTCATAGCTCTAGCCTCATTGTACATCAAAGAGTTCATACTGGAGCGAGGCCTTATGTGTGTAAGGACTGTGGGAAAACCTACATTAGTAGCTCCCACCTTGTTCAGCACAAGAAAGTTCATACTGGAGCCAGGCCTTATGAGTGCAGTGAATGTGGGAAATTCTTCAGTCGCAATTCTAGCCTCATTGTTCACCAGAGAGTTCACACTGGAGAAAAGCCCTGTGTCTGCACTGATTGTGGAAAAGCCTTTAGCAGAAGTTCTCATCTTACACGACACCAGAAAGTGCACATGGAAAAAAGGCCTCGTGTGTGCAACAGCTTTAGTGACCTCTTAGCTGTACCTCTCAAACTTGTTTAGCATGAAAAATAGTTCAGCCAGGCATGGTGGTGCACACCTTTAATTCCACCTTTAATCGAGAGGCAGAGGCAGGTGTATCTATGTGAGTTCAAGGCCACCCTAGTCTACAAAGCAAGTTCAGGACAGCTAGGGCTGTTACACAGAGAAACCCTGTCTTGAAAAACCAAAACAACAACAAAGTCATCCTAGAGAAAAGCCTTATGGCAAGGGAGAAATCTGCTCTTCCCTTTTGTAAGCTAATAGTCACTTCAAAGCAAAGCTCAGTAAGTACTATTTATGCAGAACCCATCCTCCTGCAGATTAACCTGGTCTATTCTATCTATCAGGGGAGATTCCCAGTTAATATCATGTATAGGAAATTATTATAGGATGTATTCAACTTTCTAAACTGTTCATGGCTCTTGAGTTATGTCACTGCCAAAGTTTATGGATGCCATCTCATTATATCCATCTGTTTTCATCAGTCCATTCTGTCCTAGGAAGGCAAATATTTGTTTGCTGTCCCCTACAGGTAATCATGAATGTTCCAGCGCCCGCTGAGGCTTCTCTTCCTCCCTTTATAATTAGAATCTGAGCAAGTAGCTAGCTTTGACTAAAAGGAACCCAGCTAAGGTCTCTGTTGAAGTAATTGGTCTTAATAAAAACTAATTGGTCCTAATAAAAACCTGGAGCCAGATATCAGGGTGAAAGCTGAAAGATCAGAAAAGCAGAACAAGCCACAGCCACTACCTCTTACCAACTCCTCAGCCTTATATTCCTTTCTTTCTCTGCTCAGCATATCACTTTCTGGAATAACCTTCCTAGTGCTGGGATTAAAGGTGTATGATCCCAAGTGCTGGAATTAAAGGTGAATGCCACCACTGCCTGGCTCTGTTTGTCTTTTAGACTGAATTAATCTCACATATAAAAATCCAATCCAGTGTTTAAAACTAATAGTTGCTTTTTAAAAGTATATTCAATAATTACCTTTTTATCTTATATCCATATTCTCCCCTTTTTCTTTTCAGAGTGTTTTAATAATCTACCCTTTTATCCTATCATTTCTATGTGAGTTTTTTTTCTCAAACAAAAGCCTGGAATCCAGTCTCCTTTGTTTAGCATTTTTCCTGACCATTATCAATAACAACTTGCAACCAACCACCTAAAAAATGACAATTATCTTTAACCCACTGAACGACCAAAAACCACCCACCCTATCTCTAGAGAATGTGGGTGTTGTGTTTGTAAATTTACATTCTGCTGTCGGGGCAAAGTCATCTTTAGGATATTCTGAAAGGAAAAATTTTTGGTTAATTGTCAAGTCCTGGGAGAGGTAGCTCTATCATTTATTGTCCAGTTTCTGCATAAGGGAAAGTGCAGGGCTTGTCTCAAGTCATGGTTAGAGTAGTCTGTGAGGTGGTAGCATCTTAGCTATCCACTTCAAAATTGTCCTGAGCAATTTGTAGTCCAAAGCTGATCTTTAGGTGGTGTTTATCAGCTTAGTGGCCTTATCATAGTCCTGGTGAAATCATCGTCATAGGACCCATCATCCTTTTGGAGACTTCAAAAGTCACTGTTGGGTGTGGTCATGGTTCACTGTAGAAAACTGATAGAGACTCAAACCTGAAATCATGCACAGGAAGCTAGATGAAGCCTTTTTTCTAGAATTAGTTAGTACTCTATATGACCAGTAAAATGATAAAAGTTAATATATATATATAAATCTTATAAATTTTGATATAAAATTCATACATTAAGAAAAGTTTTAAAGAGTCAAAATATAACAAAAGGATCATGAGATTAATAGTAATAGAATAGCCCCTTAATTTTGGTTTTTCTTCTGTCCCATATCAGATGGCTCTTCTGACATGATACAGAGATTTTGCATTTTCCTTTAACAAGCATGCTTGGGTTTAGGGAAGGAGAGAGCCATTCTCCAACTCCAAAGCCAGCTTTAATTTTTAATTGAACTGGGACTACATAAAGACCATTTGCATTATATGTCTGTAGAGAACAGCAGAAACATTTAGGCAGATTTATGAAATTTTATCCTGTTAGATATGTGATAAACCAATAGGCCAATTTACTCTTTCTTGGGAGATTTTTTTCTGAATGATTTGTCCTTTTTCTTCAGATGTCTCATTTGTCCAGTGTTCTTCAGATTCCTTAGCCTTCATTCTCCTGAAAGACAAAAACAAAACCCTTCCCCAGTGCTAACTTTGGGGAGCTTCCAAATCTAACCTTTATCAATTTTGATTCATGGTTTCTCCTGAATTGTCTGCTTTCTCTTCTATAGCTGTTCTACCATCCAGAGCAGTATGATTTTTTTTTTACAATATGCATTAGGTTCTTTAATTGCTCTGGGAAGGAGTTTCTTCCATGATGAATGGAATTGGACATGGGGGTGTGCGAGAAGTCCCTCAGGTCATTTCCTTATGGCAAAGGAAGGGATTACCTTGTCTGTCCCTTGTTGATATATATTTGTTAGTCCAGTGTCTGCCTTTGCCACATCTTCCGCATAATCCAGAAGGGAGGGTAGTTCTGTTGGGATTATTCTTAGCAAAAATATTGTTTCTCTTTATAGTCCTTATTTGCTTGTTTGTTTGTTTACTTATTTATTTATTTATTTATTTATTTATTTATTTATTTATTTATTTATTTATTTATTTATTGGTTTTTCGAGACAAGGTTTCTCTGTGTAGCTTTGGTGCCTTTCCTGGAACTTACTCTGTAGCCCAGGCTGGCCTCGAACTCACAGAGATCTGCCTGGCTCTGCCTCCCAAGTGCTGGGATTAAAGGCGTGCACCACCACCGCCAGCAATGGTCCTTTTTTAAGTGACCTTGTTAACCACAATTGAAACATTTGACATTACAATTTTTCTTCAAACCTCTGGAAATCATCTCTTTTATTCAGGCATCATCATGGTCATGAGATTCAATGTAGATTGTATCTTGGATCCATTCCTCGAAGGATGCTGATCTTGCCCTTAATGGCCTAAATACCCTTTTGTATTGTGCATTAGCATTTGCAAAAGCCAGAAACTCAACTATAATTTGTCTAGCTTTTGAATTTGGTATCATTTTATTTACTGCTGAAGTCAATCTTTGTAAGAAATCAGTGAAAGTTTCTTTGGGGACCTGTAGAACTTTGGAATTCAATTTTCTTTCCTACTTCTTCAATTCTGTCCCAGGTTTTCAAGGCTGCTGCATGGCATAAAGCCAGGGTGTAGTCATCATATGAAGATTGTCTTTGTATATTAGCATAATCATCCTCTCCAAGAAGTTGATCTTGGGAAATTTCAATACCTCTAGCCCTACTCTGTTGTTCAATGGTCTTAGCCTCATCTTTCCATCAGGTCCTCCACTGTAACTGTGGCCCAGCCTCCAAGACTGCTGTAACCAAACCTCTCCATTCTTGAGGGATAATTCTATTACAAGTTGATCATGAGTTTAACATCTGTTTCACAAAAGGTGAGTGCATGCCATATGGAGACTATTATTTCCTTGAATCTCCTCAAATCTAACATTTGCACAGGAGTCCATTCAGCTAATATACAGACTTGGGGATATCTGTCACTTGGTAGTTACTGTAAGGTTACTGGATAAATTAAGGTTGGCTGTTGAGAGCCTTAGGCTGTTTCTCTGTAACCTTATATATAATTCAATGTTGAGAATGGTTCTCCTTTAAATTCCTCTGGGTATGAATATCTCTATGATCTGTTCTAATAAGTTTCTAAAATTTGTATCTTGGCACTCATATAAACCAACTTTTTAGGGATAAAACAAGAATGATCAAACCAATAATGTTTATAATTGACATTATGTGAATCCCATCTAAGTTAGATATCCCCTCATTTAATTGTTCCATTTTCAAACCATCTAGTGTATTGTCAGACATCAGACTGCTTCCATTGTCATAGTGTTTCCCATATTTAATGGGGGAAAACATTCTGACTTTTTTTTAAAACTAATTTCCCCCTTTAAGAAGTCCCAATTGACTCACCAAATCTGCTGACAATGATGATTTAGTTGAAGGTGTGGCAGCAGCCTGAAGAGGGGGCCCAGGGAAAGGCAAAACCCACTGGGAGAGGAAAGAAATGAAAGATCCAGCCCTCTGCACAGGGGAACAGGCAAAAGCAGCTAACTTCTGTGGCTTTGGGAGTCTAAAAGCCTATGGAGTTTGCTGCAGATAGGCTGCAACAGAATCTTAGCCAGCAGGGTAGGGTCTCCAGCCCAGGTGCGGTGAAGACTCTGGCCAAGTGCAGCTCTGGCCTGTGCCAGTGGCTTCATAGCCATAAGCAAGTGGCTTTTTTTTGTGAATTTGTGCCCCATGTTGGGTGCCAGATGTTACACAAACCTTAATTGGTCTTAATAAAAAACCTTTCAAGGTGAAAGCTGAAAGATCAGAGAAGCAGAACAAGCCACAGCTGCTGCCTCTTACCTAACCAACTCCTCTGCCTGAAAGAGACTGAGTTCCTGTCTCCTCCTGCCTTATATTCCTTTCTCTGCTTGGCCTTATCACTTCCTGTGTCAACCTTCCTAGTGCTGGGATTAAAGGTGTATGATCCCAGGTGCTGAAATTAAAGGTGAGTGCCACCACTGCCTGGCTCTGTTTCTTTTTTTAGACTGGATTAATCTCATGTAGCCCAATGTGGCCTTGAAATCACAGAAATCCAGACAGATCTCTGCTTCTGCCTCCCTAGTGCTAGGATTAAAGTTGGGTGCCACCTTGCCTGACATCTATGGCTAACTCTGTGCCTAGCTCTGTCCTCTGATCTTCAGGCAAGCTTTTATTTCTTAGATTACAAGCAACATATTACCACAGGTCTGCAGATTTCCAGATACTTCTTTATCGAAAATGTTGACTTGTGACAGTAATGTTGCTATGTCCCAACCTTAAAATTGCCTTATCTTTTGCTTTGCATATATATATATTGCATATATGTTGCTGTTGCATATATATATATTGCATATATGTTGCATATATTATATATATAATATCCATTACGTTTAGTTCTGTTTACAGTTTAATATTTAGTTTTGCCAACATGGAGTGATCTTTATTTATAGGCATACTGATAGTAGTATTTATAGGCATGATCTTTATTTGCCTCAGAGAAGACCACATGATAGCAGAGAGTTCTCTGTCTAGTTTAACATAATGTGCCCTATTGCTGAGGCCCTACCAGAAAACACCAAAGAGCTCTGTGTGCTAAATTATATGCTTGAATGTAAGGATTCCCCTCCTCCCCAAGAACAGCATGGAGTTCCAGGACATTGTTCTCTGAATGCCTCAAGACTTAACAATGTCAAAGAGCAAGTGTCCTTCTAAACCAGTGGTCCTCAAACGTCCTAATGCTATGACTCTTAACACACTTCCTCATATTGTAGTTATCCCCATCCATACAATTATTTCCATTGCTGCATTCCTGTAATTTTGCTGGTGTTTTGAATTGTTTTCTGATGGTCTTAGACCTTTGTGAAAGGATTGTTTGACCCCAAGGGGGCTGTGACCCAGAGGTTGAGAACCTCCGATCTAAACCATGTCTCCTGTGATTCTGGAACTGACACTAGTCATCACTACCCTTGCATTCAAAATCAGTGTTAACTATGTCTTGATTGGCATAATGAAGCCCAGGTAGGTAGGCAGACAGTACTTAGAGCTACCATCTTGTGGTAGTATCCGTATTTCTTATATACCTACTCTGCCTCCATTCTCAGGTGTCCAATTTCTGTGTATCTAGAAAGTTGGTTATTAACCTTAGCCAGGCA